CTTCCAGGAACGAATTTCCCGGTCGAGATGTAATAGATCCTCTTGGGCGTGATTTGGTACTTTTGGTTGGGCTCGGCTCGCCAGACGGAAACTGGCAGGACATCGCCCTGGTCCGGAGTCGGGCTCTTCATACCGAGGCCACAGAAGGCGTGCTCTGAAGTTTGTGTTTAGCAACATGCCACATCATGTGATTCTGAATCAACCAGATGTCCAAAAGTGACCTGGAGAGAGAGAGAGAGGAACTCACCATACTTGGTCAAATCGTAAGCGGCGGTGTCAATTCCGAAAGAACCATCCTTTTCAAGTTCTCCTCTCTTCTTCTTGTCGAAGACGGCACCCCCCTCTTGGATATCCAGCCACTCGAGGGTGCCCTTACCGGTCTTGGTTCCCAGCTTCACCTCGTCCCAGTCCGACGTGCTCACAATCAGATCGGTGCGCAGAGACTCGGGGGTCATGCCGCACACGGCATAGTAGTGCTCCTCGATAGCGAAGTGAGTAGTGCCGTGCTCGGCTGCCGTGCCGGGCGAGCGGCCCCAGACATTGGTCCAGGCCTTGCCGACGGACTCGGAGTACGTTGGCTTCTCGTTGAAGATGAGGAACTGTTGGACCTTGTCGCTCTCGTTCTTCACGATGATCTTGACGTTGGCCATGATGAGAATGGGTTGAAAAAGTGTTGGGGGGGTTTTTTATGGAAGATTGTTGATTAGAAACTCAGAAGATGAACTTGATGGAAGATGGAGGATGCAAATCAGGAATTGAACGAGGTCCAAAGGAGCCTTTAAGTATCTGTTTCCTAGTCGACTGCAGTTTCGTGTGCCCATATACAGAGATTGAAGACATTCTATGGGTGCTTACTATCGATTGCAGGCCTCGATCGCAACTATCTCACGTATATGCAGTTAGAATGCACGCATCGAACAATAGCATCGCTCATCCTACACCTAGGCACGCGAGCAAATTCAGCCTTTGACACGATGTGCAGACATGCCCAATAATCTCATCTCGCAATGAGACAGAGTAGAGTTGAGTGTGCATACAGCAACACTCTCAGCTAGCCACAATGTGACGGGCACAAATCCAGCCAGGCAGAACTCGAACGTCAAGTATAGGGTCAGGGGGTGGATGGACGCGGGCTAGACAGTCTGAAAACAGTGAGATGAAAGACCTCTCTCAGCTCGACGCATCACTTATGGCTTTCATGAGGTCACTTGCAGCATGACGAACGAGTGCTGAATGACCGTTAAGAAACTTTTAGGAAACAACGGATAGATAGTTGGTGGCTCGAAGCAGACCTTCCAGACTGTGGATGTAGTGCCTTCAAAATCGAGTATGTATATCTGACTCACTGTTGTATCTTCTGCTTCAGGATTGTACAAGAATAAGACCACATCGTGTTGGTACCTCATCCTTAGGCGAACCTGAACCATCAGAACGCGTGAAGCCTCCAAGGATATCCCACCGGACACTAAACTTGTGCATCACGTTGACATCTCCTGATGGCTGAATGTGACAGAACAGGATACAACTCAATACATGGGAACTTGTTGCAGAACCCCGCAATGACTTGGAACAGAAATCCTGAACATCACGTCTTATCTTACATTATAGGAGAGTCTGAATTGCATGGACATAGAGAGTGAGGGTAAGTAGCATGCCGAGATTCGGGTTCCTTAACGAACTCCACCTTTTCGCCTATATCTTTAATAAAACCCACTTTGAGACTAACTAAGATAGTGCAGACGAAGCTGCGAAACCCCAGCCCTGGTTGTGGTCTCTCTAGTGACTCTGGTAACTACCTAACTTCAAGAAGGAGTTTAGGAATCCAGATAGACACGTATCTAGGGACCTGATTGTACATAGCCATGATAGTAGGTTACGCCTTGTCCTAGATATGTTAGTAATCTAGTGTCGTCTCGTCCAAGACAGTTTATAGCCTTCAAGTCGAACCAAGACAATCTTTAGAACACAGTGACCGTTACCATCAAATTTTAGCTAGAGCGTAGCCGGCTAGTCAGCAGATTTATGTGACTGTCTCGCATTTCCCCGCACTACGAGCCGTGCCGAAGTGCATGTAGCATGTAGTGCTGCACCAACCTCTACGGTAGTTGGACGTGATCGAACGGCAACAGTGCGGCTGACTGAGGAAGTCAAGAACACAAGCTTCAACTGGACGGGAACGTTCTAGATCATCACAGTCAACCCAATTATCACCTTCAACGGCACCGATCTGCGGTGCTGAGAATGGATGCTTATTGAAAGTTCCCCCACAGCGTAGTTTGCGTTTTCGGCCGCTACCGTTGTCATCCGTTGCCAAGTACGCCATGGCCCAAGCGAGGTGCGCCTCATTCTTCAGCCCTCATCCATCCTGGCACGCGTGAATGTTCAAAAGAGGCAACCAGGGCTGAAAGGGTCTACAGACGACTAGCAGGTGGGATACCGGGAGCATGAACGTCGGGGCATGGTGACTGATGAGATCATACTCTGTAATTTGTGCTACCCGTAATCGTCGATGCTGCCATCGTCAACTGAAATTTGACAAGACGCTGTCGTTATCCTATTTCCATCCTCTCAAAGTGCCAAATTGCGTTCATAGCATGGCGTTAAGCGTGTGTTCCTCAACCTATACAAGTAGCTTCCTCAAACGTCATATCTTGTATGTTATAAGACCCTAGAATAATGAGGGGATGGAAGTGTCCTGCTGCTCTATGGGAATGAACATTTGCACGGCTGCCCATTGTGAGATCAGGTGCATTTCTTAAGGGGTGGATATTGAGGGCTACTGGTCAGCCACACCGCATGATGTCTCGACAAGGAGCAGACGAACATACCACCTGATGAGGTTGTTCAAAGAGTCAACCTAGTTAGTAGATGGGGTCTAAAAAGGCGTTCTAAGCTTGCCAATATTTCGTAACCGCCGTATGGCCGGAGACTCCCCTGTGTGGTATGTGCCTATCGCCGCATAGCATGACTGCTGATCGAATTTCATCGTCACCTACAAAGTCTCTGAAAACAGTCTGCAAACACCTCGCATATAAACCACTGGAACCAGGCTAGCTAAAGCCTTTCTGGGTTCTCTGAGGCTGGCTGAACCCTTCTAGATCAGACCACATGGAAGCCACAACACACGGCCTAGACGGCTTCGCATTTCTGATGGGATCAATTTGGTGACTCGATACTGATGTCTGACGGGTGCGATCATGATCTCGTCGTCACTTGTCGCTTGTCAGTTGTGACAGCACTATAGCGATCATTATGCGGAGATGTTTTGAACAGCCGGAATAAGAAGTAGGCAAGAGAATCATCATTTGTTCCATATGTGATGTAGGAGCTGAAAATAACCGCTGGCTCATCAACGCTCTCCGAGAACGGAGACTTGCTGCATCATCTCTTTCCGCCGGCGGACTGGCGTTAAGAAGTGGAAGGTTTGGGTCCAATGCTCAATTGGCAATATTTCCGCACGATAGCAGTGTTTCATAGCTCTGAAGACCATACTCTACTACGTCGTATCACCTTGCGAAAGTTATATAAACCTTCTGGGCTCCTCACAATATTGCTCTCCAGATTCCTCAAGATTGTCACATTACAGTTCACAGCCTTCGCATTTCCTATTATATAGCGACGGCAAGACTTATAACCATGTCATACGATTATTGCGTCTTTATTAAAAATTTCTCTGGATCTCAACACGACTATGAGTTAAGCTATACGGACGGAACTACCAAGACTACTAAGACTATCGCAGTCAGCAACGGCGATCAAGGGGATGAGGTTCTTGAACTTGAGGCCACTATGGGTAAGCTCAGAAATATACTACTAGACTTTTACTGGATAACCTGACATATCCTCCAGTTCCCTTCGAAGTCAAGGTACTACCAGGAGGCCCACATATCGATTTTACTCTTGCCGTCAATGGAGCTGGTATGACGGCGAATGTATCACATGAGAAAGACAACACCTTGTCAATCTTGATTGTAAACCCTTAAAACTTGGGTCAGAGCCAGGAGCTAGGTCATGGGCTTGTTGGTCAAACTGTTGTGTTGGAGGATATGAGTCTAGCTACGAGCACCCGTTATTGTCCTAGCGGAGATCGTGGCTGCATGAAGCTTGCGATAGATCCTGAGGGCTGTAGGGAGTTACGTTATGTTAACAACAAGTTGGAATATAGAACGATGACTAGTGCATCTTGCACCACTGTCTGAGCATATGTCGAAGAACTTTCAATGTCCAAAAGCAAGACACACGGCAAGCTCTGATTATTAAAATTACCTCAAATGATGACAGTAATGGTCCTCTGCGCTATTCAGGGGTTCTTAGGTCTGTCTAGGTAATTCGCCATTGGGAAACCCTCACGAGTGATGCCGTACGGACAGAGGGGCTGAGATTGTTGGCCGCGCTTATTGTTCTTTTGCCTACGTGTTTGATAGAGGACTTATCCCTATACACTTTGAAATATCATGACGACCCAACTGGCTGACGTAGGTTCATGCCATACATGAACTCTCGAGGATTTGGCGCGAATAGCGAGGCCTGCGGTTTGTCCGCTTGTTGCAGTAATCGACTCCACGGATACGGCATAAGCAGTATAGCGTATAATTCCTCATCGGCGTCGGCCTGATGCCGAAGTCCTACAGATGTATCTCTGAAGGCCGCTGAACGACGCCCTCGACGTCGTTGCGGCGCTGACGGGGTGTTATTGGTCCGGGGCCGAAGAAGCGACTTGTGTTTTGTTCCTCTTTCCCTGCGGGCTCCTCATGAGGCGATGGTGCGAGGCTCTTGGTGCATGACGGTGCCACATGCCAATGCGTGCTGAGTGAGTCGTTCGGGCTTGGCCGGTTGCTTCTTAGGAGTCTTTGATATGCGTCTCCTCCACAAGGTAATTTGCGCCTTGAGGTGAACATCTCCATGAGTAATGGTCACGGAGAGCATCACAGCCAAACCCGGTTGATGAGAGACCGAATTCTAGGTGAGAAGACAGGCATCACTCTCTCGGTTTCCCTTCCTCATTTCTTGATACCCACAACCACCATATTCCTCGGGCTCTCGGCATAATCAAACACCGTCTCGACCCAGCAGTCTCGGACGAGGTCGTCGTGCTCCTTCAAAAACAGCCAGCGGTCCGTGACGATGAGCGACTCGACGACAGTGGCGCTAAAGGCCATGAGACTCCACACTGCCGCGACTTCCTTCTTACGGGAGGCATACTCTCGTTCGTACACTTCAATCTCCTCGTCCGTCATATTCGCCATCTTGTCCCGGATCACGTCGCTATACTGGCTGTACTCGCGATTCGTCGTCAGCTTGGCTACGGCGCCGCGGACGTAGTCCTTGAGGGACTTGTAGCACGCTTTCCGGAGGGAGCCGATGATGACGGGGTTCGTGGAGGTGTTGAAGGGGGACTCCCTCTCCTCTTCCGTCTGGTCTGACGGTTCCTTGCCCTCCGTGTCAGCGGCAGCAGCAGCAGCATCGCGGTGGTAGACCTTTGAAATGACGCCGCGGTCGAGGAAAATCTTTTGCAGCACCGCGCGGAACAGGTGCCGCGTGAAGAAATCGTCGCTCTCGGGTTGCGTCCAATTCTGAGGCGCCTGGCACGCCATCATCCTCGCCGTGATGTTCATCCGCACACCGTGTCCCTTGTACCCAGAAAGCGTCTCGCTCAGAGGGAAACCCTCTGGATCCCGCCGCGCCGACTCGCGCACGACGCGGCCGTTGAGCGCCTGCAGGCTGGGGCGGGCATACCCGGCCAGCTTGTAGGTCGGCGGGCCGAGCTTCTCCGTCAGCAGGTTGTAGCAGCAGCCGACGATGGCGACGGAGTGGATGGCCGGGTTCATGACGAGCGAGCGGATGCCGTAGTGGGAGAGGTTTCCGCACGAGTGGATCGAGACGGCCATCATTTTGAGGTCCTGGGATGATTCCTCCGGAAGGACCTCCTTTTCGATGCGCCCGATGACTTCGGTCAGGTCGCCGCTTTCGAGCCTGCCGACTACGTATGAGACGGAGCCCTTTCCAAGCGCGCGGTTGTACCGCGGCTCGAGTTCCTTGATGGGTCTGAAATCAAAGTCCTCTGCTGCCGCTGCGGCGTCGGGCGAGGCTTTCGCGGGTGCCTTCTTAACAACGTCGGTGCCGAGCCTGTCAGCCTGCATCTGCAGCCACAGCTTCTTGTTGCGCATGACGACCTCCTTGCTTGCCAGTCCGGAGAGCACGTCGAGTCCCTTTGCGCCGTCAATGTTGTGCTCGCGGCCCTCGACGGCGACGACGTGGCGGTTGTAAGGGGGCAGCGCAAGGGTGCGGCCGAGGTAGTTTTGGCCGCTACCGAAATCCACGAAATGCGTCGTCTCTTTTCCCCAGCGTGAGGCGATTGAGCCGGCGAGAGAATCGACGTAGCGCGCGAAATGGGCCACCTCATGGACCTTCTTGGGCTTCATACCGACGGCGACGGAGCGGGAGAGCTTTGGCGGGGGTTTACTTTCAGACGTGGTGGGCGAGAAGGTCCGGCGGAGGGAGAGCTTGCGGATGCTGCGGATATAATTTAGGAAACTCTCTGGCGGAGGCACTGGCATGGAGTCTAATGGCAAGTTATCGAGGTCGTCTCGCATGAGGAGGTCCAGGAGGGCATCGGTGCCGTAGAAGAGGAGGAAAGGCTGCCATTCCTGGGGCAGGATCTGGGAGAAGAGGCCCCGTTCGTTTGTGAAGAAGTCGAGGACGTGGACGCCGCCGCAGAGGATTTGGAAGATATCTGTGGTTGTGGCAAAGTTGAGGAGCTCCTCGACGTAGGCTTCAGGCGAAGGGAACTCGTCTGAACAGGGGAGGGGCTTTTCTGGTATCATCTTTTTTCTGTATTCGAGGCGCTTTTAATAATGCGTGTCCTGTGTGCGCAGGTGACTCTTCCCTCGGTTCAATGATTTATAGATATTCGATATCAAAGAGCGTGAGAAAGCTTCAATGAGTTGCTCAGTGAAAGATGGTGAGAGCTTCGTATGAGAGTGAGCATGTGGAGTTGTAAATAGCGATTGTGAAAATCACACTTACATAAAATTGGTCAATGGAGGGGAATTTTTCTCGGTGAATGAGGGGCACACCGAGGGGTTGAGCAAGGGTCTTCGGTGACGTCTGATGTCTCGGTGAGGAATGTTAGATTGTGCCGAAGAATCTCCGGAAGTACCTTCCACTTCCCCCGAAGCATCGACCACCGGGCAGTGACCTCCAAAAGTGGACACCTAAGGAAGACGGATGACGGGAGGTAGCCGTGTCCGTAAAGGTAGCTCGCACCCACCCGACCCGGCCGGCCGCCAGACCCGCAAACGTCATCCCAGGCCGCGTTTACCTAACAGGGTAAATTGACTACAGATCGCCAATTCCGCTCTCGACATCAGCCAATCCCTTCTTCAGTACCTTGCCTTAGGACCACGCTGCAACCTTGACTAGAAACCACCTCCTTCTAAAAGAGAGCCTAAGCCGCAAGCCAATGCGTCCACGGATGCGCCTTTCCAACCCATCGCCAGGATGATGTCCTCAGCCAACGAAGAGGATCCCTTCCTCCAAGTCCAACAGTACGCATCGCATCCCCCTCGCCTCCCACCACCTAGCACCATCCTTCTCTCCTCTAGCTATCGTCTTTGAAACAAAATACTGACCAAGAACGCACAAACAGAGACGTCCTCGCCCAACTAGACTCAACCAGACCCCTATTCACATCCTACCTCCGCATCCGCTCCCTCTCAACCTCTCCAACCTCCCCCGAACTTGCCTCCGCCCGCGCCGACCTCGAATCTGCCCTTGCTTCCCTAGCCGAAGACCTCGCCGACCTCGTCGAGTCCGTCAAAGCCGTCGAATCCGACCCCACAGCCTTCGGCCTCTCCGGCCCAGAAATCACGCGGCGCAAGAGGCTCGTGCAAGATGTCGGCGGCGAAGTAGAAGACATGCGCGAGGAGCTCGCCAAAAAGCTCGGAGCAGCAGGAGCAGGAGGCAAGGGCAAATCCTCAGCAGCAAATTCAGACCTCCCCGACCCAAGCTCCTTCGCCATAGGCGACGGCCACCATGGAGACCATGAGGACGGCGACGACGACTACGCGGCCGAGTTCGAGCAGCAGCAGCAGCTCGAGATGATGCGCGAGCAGGACGGCCACCTGGACGGCGTGTTTCGCACCGTAGGCAACCTGCGGCGGCAGGCCGACGACATGGGCCGCGAGCTCGAGGAGCAGAGGGAGATGCTCGAGGTCGTGGACGGCGTCGCTGACCGCGTGGGCGGGCGGCTGCAGACGGGCGTGGCGAAGCTGCAGTACGTGATGCGGCACAACGAGGATCGGCTGAGTAGCTGCTGCATCGCCGTGCTCATTTTTGTGCTGATCTTGTTGCTTATTTTGTTATTGATTTTGTAAAAAAGAAAAGAGAGGGGTTTCTTCGGCTTGCTGCCCGGCGAGACCGAAGTAATGATGGAGGCTAGAGGTATTTGGGGATCACTAGAAGACGACAAAAAGGGAAGAGTGATGGCGAAATGTCGTTTTTCTTTGAAATGGGGGTTTGGGAGTTCATGGAGCGGGTTTGGAATTCTTGTCAATGAAGTTTTTGTCTTTTACTACTTTGAAAGCCTTCATCTGGGGGCTATGATAGATCTCAGTCATCCAACTAACGATACGCAATGTCTAGGGTACGTGTCTTTGTATCCTCCCCCCGCCAGACCGTCCCATGTTGCTTCAATGGATGAACTAAACCAAAGCCCGGATCCCGTGCTCATCGCAAGTCATGGTGAAGTCTTGCTGTTTTGGTTCTTTTTGGTGTATAAGCACCCCCATGCCAGGATGTCCAGAAACGCCAGAGTATGTGTAACCCTTGAAAGCCCTTCCCCCAATGTCGGCAACCCATGCCTTTCATGTATGTGTACAAACGGTACTTCGTCTATCTTGGCTTTGCTTCCTCCGCCCCACTATTTATGCCACATCTAACCCAGAGTCTCGTCTCAAGACGTCGCCCAGGACCTGCAACGCCTGCGCGGCCGTGGCCCCTGGAGGGGCTCTCTTAGGAAACTCCACCAACGCCATCCTGAGAGCCGCGACGGCGGCATTGCCATAAAAGTTAATGAAGCGCTGCTCGTGACCGTCAATCATGGACTTGAGCACCACGTACTGCGTGTTGGAGACGAGCTGCGGCGGGGAGTTGACAATCTGCGCCATGGCCTTCCAGTAGTTTGTCGGCGGGTAGGGATTCGTCTTGGACGCCTTGCTGAAGTCCCGGAGCGCAATGGCCGCGAAGCCGGCACCGAGGCCCGTCATCCTGTCGTTGTGCGCCTGCTCGGGCACCCAGTTGCCGTTCTCCTTCTTCCAGCCAATGGCCCTGCGGCCGCCCTCCGTCTTGTCGCTGCCTCTAGAGCCGAAGAGGACGGGACAGGCCACGCGGAACTTGGCGATGAGGATGTCGATCATGGAGCCGCAACGCCAGTGGTAGTCCTTGTTGGAGAATATTTGCGCCGTCACGATGCCGACCGGCTCGGCCGACTTTGGATTCGCACCGCCTTCGTTGGAGAATTGCTGGATGATTGCCTTTGAGAGGATATTGAGGAGGTATATGAACAGGGCCGGTAGCTGTGGGCCGTTGTTAACAGCGCCGTCGGCTGGCTCCCTGCTTTGCTGCACGTATATGCTTGCGTCGATTAGAGGTGACGGGACTTGGCCGCCGAGAGATTCGCGCAGTGCGGTATTGATAGTGGCAAGCTGAGATATCGTTAGCATTTACGTTGCGATACCAGCAGGACCAGACCTACAGGTTGCGCGTTTGCCCCCTTCCCAGCAGTCAACTGCCCAATGGACTTCCTGATTTGCCTCCGCATGTCTCCCAGCTTGCCCTTCAATGGGTTCCCAGGCTGTTTCGACAGGGCTTCGACGTCCTTTCGCAGCTTCTTGAGAGCTTGGTGTATCTGGGTATACCTGTCAACGGTCGGTTGAGCTGGCACTGGTGCAGGCGCCACAGGCTGAACAGCGGGCTTCGGGGCTGGAGGTGCTGCGGGCTTCGTGAGGAACCCATTGGGTTGGATTGACGGCGTAGCGGCGACCTGTGCGGGTGTTGATGAAGGTGCTGCGGGAGGTGCCTTCGCGGCTGGAAGAGCTGATGTCGGAGCGCTTGTCAAGGGAGCTGGCTTTGGTGCGGCCGGTGGTGCAGCAGCGAGCTCGGATTTGGCCGCCGTTGTGCCATTGACCTGAGGTTCTTGTGACTTCTTCGGCTCCGGCTTGGGCGGTGCAGGTTCGGGTTCGGGAGGGAGTTGAGGAATCTGCTTTGCCTTGAGCTCTCTCAGCCTCTCTTGCTCGGCGCGCACTGCTGCTTCTGCCTTGAGACGATCTTCTTCCTCTTTTTGTAGCTGTGCTATCCTCCGCTGCTCAGCTTCCAGTCTTTGCTTCTCCTCCTGCAATTGGTGGACCTCATAGACCCTCAAAGCGGCGAGGCGAACACGCTCGTGCTCGAGCTGGGCGGCGGCGAGGGCATCACGGTGGCTCAGCTCCGAGTTACGATTCTCGGAGAGGAAGTCTGCTGTGAAGCCTCGTTCGGGGCTCGACTTGATGTTGTTATTGTGCTGGCTTCTCCGCGAAGGAGAAGAGTGCGCCATGGTTGGTCGCCCAGTTGGCTACCAATGGCCTCGATGGTGTGGTCGTAGGTGGGAGTTGAGACCGGCCCCTACGGCATCGGGCGGTGGGGTCAGGCGCGGGATGCAAAATTGCACCGACAACCGAGAGAAACAAAATCAACAAAACCAAGGACCAAACACACCAACAAGCGGCGGATCAGAAAGAGTGACGTCCGCGGGTGGGTGGTTGGATGGGGAAGGCAAGGCAAGGCAAGGCTCGGGCGATCTCTAAGAGAGTCCAGACGAGGCTGTGCTTCTTGAGCTCTTCAGGGCCGTTTGGGTCGAGTGGTGTCGTCAAGCGGACAAGGTATTGGTTGGCGGTGGGTAGAAAACCGACTGTCGAGTTCAGGTTGGGTGCGGCGTTGGTGTGGAGCAACGAAAAATAATACGATGTATCAGGCGCGCTTTGATGCAGGATAATGCTACCGTTCGCGGCGGCCTGGGGCTCTTTGAGGTGAATTGGGGGGTGGAGGGGCCTGTTGCTGAGCTGTGGGAAAAGTCGACGACCCTTGCTGCACTGTCACCCTGGACCCGTGTTGCCGCTTGCAGCTCTACCCTTTTTGCACCATGGGGTGGGAGAGCAGACGAGCAGACCAAAGTGATGTAGCAGAGCAGAGCAGAGCAGAGCAGAGCAGCCAAAAAAAAGGAGCAACCGGCCAGACCTCAGAAAACAGAAGAAGAGACGTCGCCATGGTCGCAACCTAGGTGGGATCATTGGGGAGCTTGATGGACGAATGATGGCTCTAGATTCTGGCAGAATGCAGCATAGCGTCTCCGCTGGTTGGTCGGACCGCAAGTGGAGTCTTAGCCCAAACACGGGCAGTCGGATTTGCTGCCGGGCGGTCAAGAACTGAGTACAAAGTCACGAACTTCCTAAGGTATGCACCGTTATCCGTACAAAAAGTACATTCATACCTTACTCGAGGAGTCTACTGTGTAGGTGAACAAAAGTAAATATTCGTGCCATCCATGCCGTTGAGATTCTGCCACTGGAGGAGTCGGGCCCGGCCCAAGTTTCCAACTGGGGAGTCGGCCCAAGTTTGGATCTGGCCCGTCTCGCCTTGACTTTCCCTCTCGGTTTTGCTGGCCTGATGAATGCAAACCGGCAACAGCAAACACGACCGTAGACTGGACGGAGCGTCTGAGAGCTGGGCGTGACGGGGAAGAGAATCTTCAACCTAGTATTCGCACCGATGCCTGCTCAGATAGAGTGTG